CTCTCTTCTTCTCTTTTTCTCCTCTCTCTCTCCTTCTCTTTCTCTCTTCTTCTCTCTTTCTCTCTCCTTCTCTCACTCTTTCCTTCTCTTTCTCTTTCTTCTTGACTTTCTCGGTTCTCAACATTCAGTGAGGTTAAACAATCTGAGGCAACTTCTCATCGCAGCAAAAAAAAATAAAAAATAAAAATCAGCTAGGAAATACACTGAATTTCAACTGTCCTCTGAATCATGCAAAGTGAAAGAGGGTTCATTTTTGTTCTCCCCCTCCCCTCATTATCCGATAGTTCTTTAAAGAGTTTCAAGTTTTACTTTGCCTCCTTTTGATCAGGAGGAAATGGTAGTGCAAGGAAGGAAGCACAGCTGTGCCTTCAGCTTTGAACTCACCAGGTTTAAAAGTCTGCAAGATTTTTTTTTTTTCTTTTCAGCTCTCTCTCCAGCCTGGCTCATACAGCCTCGTGATAAAGGGAGATATTAAATTGTCCTCAAGGATTACTAGAAAGGTAAATTCCTCAATTCAAAGCTTGCAGTGGAACTGTGTTGGATGTGTAGTTTTTTTCAAATTTAAATCCTTAATAAGGTAAATGGCCTGTTTTTTTTTTTTTTTGAATCGCGGGTCTCAATTCCAATTGTTTTCTTTCTTTCTTTTTTGGGAAAAATAAAAAGTTTAGCTTTTTTTTTCCTAAAAGAAGGAAGAGGCTGGTTTTATGACAGGCTCCTAGAACTACAGATGGCATTTAATGTGGCAGCACCATCTAGCGGCACCATAAATTCATAATCGGCTCAAGGTTGACTCAACCTTCCATCCTTCTGAGGTTGGTAATAGAAGGACCCAGATTTGTCTGTGGAGATTCTCCGTCAACCCAGGTCATGGTTGTCCCAAAGGTGTTTTTTCAAGAGGCAACTGGACTTTCTGGTTTGTCTTTGAGGACATTTCACTTCTCATCCAAGAAGCTTCTTCAGCTCTGACTGGATGGTGAGGAACGGAAGGATTTTTACTCCTTGAAGACAGCTGGTCATTTGCAAAAAGGCTCCACACCCATTTACACCACTCAGGTGACCCCGAGGACACAAACAAACCTCCAAGTGATTTCAAGGACTCTTTAAAAAGAACACAAATGACCAGCTGTCTGCAAGGAATATAAATCCTCCCATTCTCCACCATCCAGTCAGAGCTGAATCCTGATCAGCTCCAGGTTGACTAAGCCTTCCGTCCTTCCGAAGTCAGTAAAATGAAGACCTAAATTGTTGGGGGCCATAGGCTGACTCTGTAAACCACTTAGAGAGGGCTGTAAAGCACTGTGAAGCAGTATATAAGTCTAAGGGCTATTGCTATATGCCACCCTGACATTTAGAGCAGATAATCACCTTGAGAAGGATGAGCATCATTTCTAATTATATTTAGAAAATATATTTATGCTGGCTGGGGAATTCTGGGAGTTAAAGTTGCCAAGGTGAAAAAAATACTGTCCTAGAGTCTTGGGTTACTCTCGACTTCTTGGATTTCTGGTATGTGCCTCTTATCTAACAGTATTCATTCTATGTTCTCAACATCTTTACCATCAAAGGTAAACTTCTCTATTCCCAGTAATTTTAACAGATGTGAAAATGGGCTCAAACATTAATAACTTGTAACACGGATCCCAGAGGATGTTCAAACTGTTCCACCCAGATGTTACATGCTCACGAATGTGTCATTGGAGGTTTCTATAAAGCATCAGGCAGATGTTAGCCATCTCCTGTCTCTTTTGAAATGAAATAGCATAGGATTTGCATTTGGTCTGTCACCCGTGATTGGTTTCTTTACAAGGGCTCATGGAAGCTTCTGAAGTGCCAACACACAAACTAACAATCTAATCAAAAGAGAACCGTTTATCTCTATATTAGTATACTTAGCAATAGCAATAGCCCTTAGACTTATATACCGCTTTACAGTGCTTTTACAGCCCTCTCTAAGCGGTTTACAGAGTCAGCCTCTTGCCCCCAACAATCTGGGTCCTCATTTGACCCACCTTGGAAGGATGGAAGGCTGAGTCGACCTTGAGCCTGATGAGATTTGAACTACCAAATTGCAGGCAGCCAGCAGTTGGCAGTCAGCAGAAGTAGCCTGCAGTACTGCACTCTAACCACTGCACCACTGGTGGTCCTTTATTGCTTACTCTGATACAACCAAGGGTGTCTATGCATTCACACAACACAATTAACTCCTTTGCTGATAGGGGACATTTTCTGGGTTTTGGTGAATCATAAATTAACCACATGGACTGCTGTAGAACACATGAAGCCAAAAAAATCTCTCTTACCCACCCAATAGAATGTTAAACATTATCCCAGGATAATTTTGCAGGATCCAATCTGGGTTGGTCACTGGGACCAGAGGTTTTTGTCTTCTGAGCCTTTGGACTCCCTGAAGGTGGGCTCCAGCATGAGTCCAAAATCTCCGAAGACTGGTCCCGGTGACCAATTCAGATTGGATCCTAAGAAAAGTTATCATAGAGTTTTTAGGTCTGTACCTGTGATTGGCTACAATGGAGGTACACCATCCTACAATGGAGGCACCTATAATGGAGGTGCACCATCCTGATGTCTGAGCCCACCATAATTTCTTTACACAGTTCTGTCCTTGGTCTTTAAACAGTATCTTCCAAGCCAAGATCCAAACCTAAACCTCATTTAATTTGATTTAACACTTAAATGGGATTAGAATCACATGAGCTCAATTCAGTCTAGTTCACAAGATTGCCCCTAGTGTCTTTCATTATTCCTCCTCCAGTTGGATTAAAAATATACAATCTGAGGGCAATTTTTGTAAGGACTCTGGGGGTTGTACCCCAAGTTTCCAGTGGCCACTTACATTCCTGGATTTTTAGGCAGGGTATCTCTGCAATAAGGGTACAGACACATAGAGACAGTAGCTCTCAGCTCCAAAGAGTTGGAGATGTCTCTCATTTCCACTCTACTGTCCAAACACAACTTGTCCTGGAAGAAAGGAAATTCCAACTCTGGAAACTGTCAGCATCAAGTTCTGCACAGTTATTAGATGATGTCCAAGGAAACACTTTTAAAAAACAGTTCTGGGTCTCTTTGCAATGTTTCCACTGGGTGATGTCTGAATTTTATCATAAGAAGAATGAGTGATAAATTTTGCTTTCTCCAACAAACAAATCATGTATTAAGCTGTCCGCTCCAGAAGTGGTATTCAGCAGGTTCTGACCAGTTCCGGAGAACCAGGAGTAGAAATTTTGAGTAGTTCAGACAACTGGAAAATACAACCTCTGACTGGCTCCACCCCCATCTATTCTCTGCCTCCCATTCAGTCCCAGCTGATCGGCTGGGTCTACTTTGGTTGCCCTGCACAGGAGAACGGAGCTGGAAAGCAGGTTAGTGGGGTGGGGAGGGAATGGGGATTTTGCAGTAACCTTCCCCCAGGAGTGGGGAGGGAATGGAGATTTTACAATATCCTTCCCCTGCCAAGCCCACCAAGCCACACCACACCTACCAAGAACCGGTAGTAAAAAGAAATGAATCCCACCACTGGTGTTCTCATATATTTTTTTCCCCTCTAAGTTCCCAATATCTTTCAAATCTTTCTATTGGGAAAATGTTCCTGTCTCGTCAAAAGCTGCATTATATTTCTCTCCCTTTCTTCCCCTCATTACACATATTCCTGTACTGTCAGTTCCTTCAGCGTCAACATTTTCTGTGGAAGTTTCTTGGCCTTCCTCTCTTCCATCTTCTTTTGGAAGAACAAGAAATCTCTCCCAAGCTCATATACTAAAGAGATCATTGTTTCTAGCAATGGTAGGTAGTACCGATGACCGGGGTGTTTTTCTAAACGCTGTAGGGCCTTTTCTCCAAACTCGAAGGCACTTTTGAAGTTCTCCAGATCTTTGTGACATACAAGGATGGCGCATAGGGTGGGAACCAACTGAATGGGCCTGTGTTTTGTGAGCTTCTCTTGCAAAGCTACGGCCTCCAGAAGACCTTCCAAAGCTTTGGTGTATTGTCCTCCTCGAAGGCAGCTGTAGGCCTCTTCCAGCTCAGGCCTTGTTAAGAAGTCAATGAACATTCGCGATGTCCTGATGAACTCCATGGAGTATAGAATTCGCAAATAATCCTGGAAAGCTAGTTTTCTCTCCAGGATGACTTCATCCATGAAATTGCCAGTCAGGATCTTTTTGGGAAAGACAAGGTCTTCCATTTCATCGTAAAACTCTTTAAATAGGCTTGTGTGCAGCTTTTCAAAATCAGAATACCGGCGTTCAATCGTTGATACGTTGCTGTCAAAGCTGCCAGTCTGGATGATGATGATTTGGTACTTCTAGAAGGGATACACAAGCAAAATATTTTAGGAACGTCGGATGGAAAGGGAGTCCCAGTCATCTGGAAGATACTCTGAACATGGGTTGTGTTACTTTTAATATTTGCAGTTTTAGTTTAGCCGAGTGTGCCTGCTTCTTGCCATGATGGATGGTTTAATCTTATATGTTTTTATATCCCATGGTTTATTCAACAATCCATGATCCAAGTACTGTACTTATGGCTTAGTACTTTGTGTGAATTACTGGGTCACACATAATGCTATGCCGCAACCTATGGTTTACAACTGGGGTACCACCCTATTCAAAACCACGATGCTTGTGCTAAGGTGCAATGTAGCTTAATCCAGTAATTGCTATAATCACTATATTTGTGGCTTATAATGTGGTGTTAACCTAACCACTACATTCTTAACCATGATTTAGTACAACAAATGAAACTATCCAGCCCAAATGAAGTTATTAGAGTAGTGATTGACTCAACTGATGAAAGGGAATTTATTCAGCTAGAAAACTGAGCCATCTTAGGTCAACACAGGTTGCTTCAAGCCCTAGGATTCTTCTTCTTCTTCTTCTTCTTCTTCTTCTTCTTCTTCTTCTTCTT